TTAAATACCATTACCCCAAACACAACATAATGCCTCTAGTTTTCTATTTCAATCAGGAATTCAAGTAGCATCTTGACTTGTATATAATATATCAGCAGCAAAATCATGGAATGCTGACATCCTTAATAATAGCAATTAGTAATCAGTTGTTTCTTAAGTAGTTTGATTACGCCAGTTGCCAAATTACACGGTTGATGCGGTTGGGGGCAAGAGGGGTCCGCTTCCCCTCCGCCAGCCGCCCGTCGCCCTCCCTGTGCTCTCCGCGGTCAGTGAGCTGAGAGGTGCCAGAGGGCGGCGAGGACAGATGAGGCCGCTGTCACCGATGTTAAACAGCAGAGACATGGCTTTGGCAGGAAGTAGAATGAAATATTCCTGTGCAGAGACACCAGCCTCATAGTGTCTGTGGAAAGGCAGTCTGAGCCTACCCCGCTGCACGTTAGCAAAGATACTTGGCCCGTCCCCACCAGGCACAGCCGGAGTTTGAGCTTCTCTCGGGGCACAGACCCCATGCTTGGTTCTGGAATAAGTGTTAGGCAAGCTTCTTTCCTGTGAGGAGGTCATATTTTAGTTTGAAGTACACAGTGGGTATAAAAAAATAAGACCGAGGGCCTTAATGCTCTTGTGGAGGAAGGAGGTGAGTCTGGGGGCTGGGGTGGGTAGGGGCGGCCTTCCAGTGGAGGTGACCCCCTGCGTGGGGTCTGCAGGGATAGGGGAATGTTGGTGAGCAGAGAGGTGCTCACGTGCCCTGGGGTTTGGGTTCAACCCTGGTGGGGAGGTTCCTGTTGGGACGCGGTGGGCAGCACAGATGGGAGAGCTGACTGGGGTGCGTTAGGGTACCAGCCCTGTCCTGTCATTGCACACACACGCACACACACATGCACACAGAGGCTGTGCCCCCACCCAAGGGCGCCCCAGATCCTCACAGCGGGCAGTCCAGGGCTGGCAGAGGTCCTGGTGAGTCTGAGTGGGAGGGCCGAGCGCCCCCTAGAGGCGGCTGTGCTCCTCCCGGTGGGGAGCCGAGTGTCCCAGGTCCATCCTTGCGGGAGAGCGGGTGGCTTTGCAGGGCACAGGGGAGTTGCTCCCTTGGGGGAACCCTGATTGATGACGATGCTCCAGCCTCTGGTCTGCTGCGGGCTGGGCAGGGAGGGGATGCCCTGCACTTTGTCCCATTATCTGCTAAGGCTAAATTTTAAGTTCCTCTGATCTTTGCCCTCATCCAGGGCACATATGTCCCCCTGAGAGGACGTCTCCAGAAAAAGCCATTCCCACCATTTTCTTGCCTGGTGCTTCTTTTTCCCAATGTTTTGTTGTGATGTTGACATTGAAAGGAATTGTTAGTGTTTTTTCTGTCCTGTTTGGTGGGAGTGGTGAGCTCACAGAGCGGTGAGCACAGGGTCTCACTGACGGATGCGAGGTCCCGCGGGTCCCGTTGACAGGCAGGGAGAATTGCTGGTTTTATTCTTCTTAGTTTGGCAAATTGTCATCTTTTGAACAATACCTAGAATTCTGTCAAACAGGATTATCCTTGGGTAGAAAACTTTTCCTTCCCCTCCCCAGATGCATCTGCAGGCGGTCCCAGCCCTGCCTCTTCCGGCCCGGGTGGGCGCTCCCAGCTCTGCCCAGCGCCTGGCAGCCCCATTTTCTCCAGTATGACCATCTCTTCATCTTTCCACCCCTCCTCCCAAGGATTTAAATCTTTCCAGCATCCATTCCCAACATGGGCTGCGCTGCGAGGTATTGCCGTCAGCTCTGACCACGCTTCAAGCATTCTGAAGACCCCATGTCCATGTTAAATCCAAGCAGCTTCTCTTCCTCAGGGACATCCCACTCACAGTCACCTTAGAAAGAGGCCACTGTGCCCACCCTTGGGAAAGTGGAGCCCGTGCTCCATTTCAGGCTGTGTCAGCGAGTCTTTGGGATGTGGCCTCAGAAAGGCCCAGAGATGGAAAGGACCTCAGTGACCATCCAAGCCAGTGTTTCCCTAAGGGTGTCTGCAAACCCCCAGGCCCCCTTGTGGTGAAACTGCACCGAGCCTTCCGTATTCCACTGCACCAACCTCCGAGAGTATGGCGGGCGGGGGACATTTCTCAGCTCATCCTCCGCAGGCCTCTGCTAGGGAAGCAAGAGTCTAATCTCATGCACTAGTTCATAAGTAAAGGCACTGGCCAGGGAGGGGAGGTAACTTCCCTGAAGTCACACAGCTCGCTGGGGGCAGAGCCCAAGCTTCCCTCTGAAAGCTTCACTCTGAGGCTGGAGATTTCCAGATACCTGGGCTCTGAGTTCCTTGGAGGCAGCCCTGGCTACAATTCCTGTGTATGTCTTTCACCCTCCATACTGCCAGGCACACAGCAGAGGCTCAACACACTGTCCCCATCACATCACAGACCCTTCTGCTTTCTGTCCCTGATGTTGGCACTAACCCCTGCTCGTGGCCAAGACCTTCCCGCGGAGCTCCCCAAGTGTTTCTCATCTTTGCCATTTATCTTTGTGTTTATCCCACTCTCCTGGCATGGACCCTTGTCATCTGTCCCCTGGGTGACTGCCTTCAGTTGTCTCCTAGCTGGACTCTCCCATCTGTTCTTTCCTTCAAATCCTGTGTTCACCTTTTAACTGGTCACAGGGGGCCATACCCAAAATGCAAGTGTGAGCGTGCCACTCCCCCCATCCTCAGGTTTAAGGTCAGCTGGCTTTCCCTGTAATAAAATCTCTGGTAACAAGATGTGCCCTAGGGTCACATGCTTAATCATTGAGTGTGCAATCATCCTGAAATGAAGACAGCGCAGAGTCTCCTTAAAATATGCCATCAGCATCAAACTGCTCTTGCCCTTCTGCACTGCGCGTTTGGTGGGAAAGTACATACGTGTGTGATTTAGGATGTAATGGGTTCCGTGGGGGTGGGGACAGTAACTCCCAACACAAACTTCACTGGTTTCAAGTGTTCAGTAAAGTGGTAATTACAGTCAGGATGGTGCAGGGCAATCAGAAATGTGAGAAGAAGTGATATTTCAAGTCAAGCATTTCGAATCCACAGATCCCCAACCAGATGAGGTGCTTTTGTAAAAGGGGATGTGGAGACAGGGCATCCACTCCTGTCTGAATCCCAGCAGAAAGCAGATGGTGGGACCACAGGGTGTGACAAAGGTAGGCAGGGCTCAGGGAAGCCAACGAGGGGTGGCCATAGCCACGGTGGGAGCCCTTCATCCTGTGTCCCAAGGGGCAAGCAGGGAGGTGGGAACTGCCAGCCGGGACCCGAGCCTTCAGCACATGGACGGAGCCAAGCAGCAGCAGCACTCGGGCAGGAAGGGCCCCTGGAGTCACCCCGTGCCCCCCTGGCTCCTTCCAGCTCTGCGTCAGCTGCACCCACAGGGAGTCAGAGAGCAAGGGCAGGTTATGCGGTTCAAAGGGTCAGCCTCACGGGTGGGTACAGAGCAGGCAGGGTGAGGGTGGGTCAGAGGGCAAGTGCAAATGGGTAGCTCAAGACGCCCGGCCAGATCGCAGGTTGTGATTGGCCAGTTTCCTCCCCACACGCCAGACGATCTCCTGGTGCCGTGTAGTGGGGCCTGCTGCCTGCCTAGGCTGAGCTAAGACAGAACGGGGCGTGCTGCTCTTCGGGCTTGTGGCTTTCCGGCCACCATCCAGACCGTGGCCCCAGATATTAGGAGAACCAAGGAAAGGGAGCAGCAGGAGACGGTTTCTCCCTAAGACCTTAAGCAGCTTGTTTCCGTCTCCAGTGAAGGCAGCCCAGGGGGTGCCCCCGAACCCAAACGAGTAGAGGGGTGGGCGCCCCCTGGGATGTTCTGATCTATTGTCTCTCTTCATCAGAATAAAGCTCTGCTGGCACCTATGTCCCATGCACACTCTCTTTTGTGCACTTGTTGCTTGTGTGAACATGTGTTCATGCATGTGTGTGCATGTGTATGTGTACATGAGTGCACACACGTGTGTGTTGAGAGGCAGTGTGTCTCAGGGTGGAGAGGAGCCCTGAGCATTCCTTAAGGGCCAAGATAAACCCTGGAGGGAACATCTGAGGGGCTGGAAAACAGCACAGTGCAATTAAGGGCAAATCCTAGGTCAGGGAGAATATTGTCAGCAAATATGAATGAGGGAGCATCTATATATGTTACATCAAGCAGTTCTACAAAATGACAAAAAAGATGCAGAGAAAAGGGGAGAAATGGGAGCCAGGGACCCAAACAGGCCAGTCAAGTGTGAAGAGGTCTACAAAGAAAACCAAAGGCTTTGTGCTGGATGGTAAGGAAAGAATGGATGGGCAGGGGGAGGAGGATGCCCATAGCACGTTATTAAAGGGGTGACTTATGAAGCACCAATCTTTGTCACCAACGATGTTGAGGGTGTGGTGAGACACACAGTCAGTGTCAGAGGAAATAGAAATACTTCCAGAAAACAATTTGGAAAATTTTCTATCCTTGTTCCAATAATAACTTCTCCTAGGAAGTTCTCCTAAGACTATCATCCCAAATAAGAACAAAGCCGCAGTGAGTGCTAGCAGAGATGCTAATTACAGCGTTACTGATGGTGGGAACAATGTAAACAAATATTCCCCTCCTGTAGGCATTTGGTTTAAGTATTTTGTGACTGATCACCTCAAAAGACGATTGAAATCAAGGAGATTTTGTAACACCATGGAAGATACTATAGACATATTAACTCAACAGAGCAGAGTACAAAATTATACCTACCACATGGTTAAAAATAGGGGAAATTTACACATGGGAGAAAATGGAGAAATGAAACCGACACTGGGTGAGGATGGTGGTGCCAGGCTTCCTTTCCTTTTGTGTTGAGCTCTAATTGTTGCCTACGTAACACACGGCTGGACACCACGTGTGCAGCGTGCCCGTGCGTGGGAGTGAGAATCAGATGGCCAGCACTTGCCTTTTCCAGCCCTCTGCTCTCCACTTCAGCAACGGCTCCCCCCTCACATGCACCAGGATGGCTAATCTAGGTTCAAGCACAGCAGATTCATTCCAGTTACCTACTAGCACCCCAGGGGGCAGCTGGGCTGAGGGGTCTTTTATCCAGTCATCGTTGGCCAGTTCTATGACGGCATCCACGTGCCCAACTTCGGTGCAGATCAAGCGTCTCACACCCTCCTCATTGCTGGCGTCCAGGGCAGACTTTAATCTCTTCACCAGATCTGAGGTGACCGGGTAGTCGGGAAGGCAGTCAGAGTTGGACATTGTAATGTCGTTTTTGGTACTGATCACTTTCCTTCTCAACTGAGTCCAGTGTTTGCAGCTGAGCCTCAGAGTGGTGTGGCCGTGGTTATAAATAGAAGAGGCTCGAGTTGCAGCGACTGGGGAGGGCCACCTGCCAACAGCCCTCCCCCTCCCCTTCTTTGAAGAGAGACAGGACTTCATCCTCCCAAAGGCCTCAGTTCAGGATTATTCGACAGATGGAGCAGTAAACATATTTGTGAGTGGGGCAAGAAGAGTGGATGCTATTTTAAAAGAAATCTCTCCTACATGCAGTGGAACAATGTCTACTTTTACCCAAAGCAAGAGTCTATCCAGAGACTTTAAAAACTTTTTCTTGAGGCAGGGCTTGGAACCTGTGTTCTGCAGGAAGGACCATTCTGTGACGCTCTGCAGCACCTACCCCTGCCCGTCGTCCAAAGGAGAGGCAGCGTGACCGTCGGCTGGACGGGCCTTGACCGGAAGAGAGCTGTGGGTCTTGGGTGTCCAGTTCAGGGCGGGGGCTCAAGCAGACGAAAGCACAACCAAAGAAAATGAAAACAATGGACCTAAATGTCAGTGGCAGCCTCTCCCACCCCAAGGCTGGTAAACTAGCCTCAAAGTGCCCGATTCCATGCCCTGTGAGGTGCGAGGCCCCCAGCTGCTCTCTGTGCATTCCTCTGCTTGGGGGGTGGGGTGGGGGGCTCCCCAACCTCAGTCGCTAGGGCTCCTGGATCTCCCTGCCTAACTGTGCACAAAGCCCAGCTGCCCAGCAGTTTGCCTGCATTTTGTGACCATTGTGACGAGCTGAGGGGCCCCCAGTCTTGCCACCTCTTCTCCTTGTCTTGTTCTCTCATCTCCCTGTGTGATGGTTAGTTTTATGTGTCAGCCTGGCTGGGCCACAGTGCCCAGATATTTGGTCAAACATTATTGTGGACATTCCTGTGGAGGTATTTTTGGATAAGGTTAATGTTTGCGTTGGTGGACTTTGAGTGGAGCGGATCACCCTCCATGACGTGGCTGGGCCTGACCCACTCAGTCAAAGCCCTTAACAGACCAAAGATTGATGTTCCTGAGCAAGAAGGGGTTCTGTGAGCAGACTGCCTTTAACCCCAGCCACACGTCTTCCTGGGTGTCCAGTTGTGCTGGCCCTACCACACATTCTGGTGCCAACCTCCACCACTGTGAGTCAGTTCCTTAAAATAAATCTCACTCTCTCACATGTATGTGTGAACACCCTATTGGTTCCATTTCCCTGGAGAACCCTGGCTAATGCGCCCTCCGTTCAGCTTGGGTGTATGATTTTACAGGTGCTATTCCGTACACCAACACCTCCCCCGACACGGCTGGCATCTGCACTTGAGGAGCCAGCCCTGGAGTTGCTCTCCAACCTCTGTTCTCCCTACTACCTAACACAGCCTGGATTTTTTTTGCTGTGAAAATGTGCCTGGCCCTTGGTGATGGATGATGTTGATTTAAGTTAAAATCAGTCCTAGTCTCCTTTGCCAGCTACTCAATGTCCCAGCCCCCTCTGAAGCCCAGTGCTGGGCAGTGAGAGCAGGTGTGGTCTGCTCTGGTGTATCTGGGGTGCTTTTTTGCTTTCCTGATTGAAAGGGGAAGTAGTGGCTGGTTTCTCCCTTTCCCCTTCGTCTTGCCTTGAACAAGGTTGTGATGTGTGGAGCTGTGGCAGCCATACTATAGTCATGAGGTGACAGACCCGAGATGAAGGATCAACATACTAAGGAGAGTGAAACAGAAAGAGGGGAAGAGATGGCTCCTTGATGACATTGCCAAACCTTTCCCCCCTGCTTAGAGCTGTCAACCACCAAACTTCTTGTCTTTATTCCCATAGCTCTATTTGTGTGTTTTTGGTGATTTGCAGCGTAAAAGTATTCCTGGTTGATATAGGTAGTGTGCTCACTCTGCCTGTAAAATCATGGAAATGTCCTAGTTTCAGTCTAAAGAGATGCAGCAGAAATGGCTCAGCCTATGATAAGGGATGTGAGTCAATCCCCCCAAGCCTTCTGTTCTTTGGTAATTGAACTCCTGCCTTCCATGATGAACTCTCACTGGAGCCGGTAAGAACAGCAGACAACCCGGACTGGAGAACCGGTGGCATCACGAGCTAGGGCCGTCAATAAGCAAGCAGCCAGGGCCGCCCGAGGGACTGCCTTCCAGTGTCACAGGGACTGAAAGTGGACCCAGAGGGAGACATTCCTGGAGTCAGTGACAGTGGGTTCTGCCTGGAAAGGAGATAGAAACTCAGTGGACCAGTTTTCAGTTCAGATGTTTGGCCAACTTGGAGAGAGTGTGGTTGGTCTCTGGTTCTTTCTTTGGCCAAAGAATTGTGAGTTTTGAAAGAGATTTTGAGTCTGACTTTCCAAGCACAAATGCTTTGGCATCAAATGCCTTATATTTAGAAAGAAATTTAACACCAGCACCCTTGTGGAAATACGAAGAGAGGGAGGGTAGTGACCATAGGAAAAATCATCTGAATTTGAGTAAGGTGATTTAAAGAAATACACTGAGAATTATTAGAGATTGCTATCAAACTTCAAATCAGAAGGGAGGTAAAGCTGAAGCACTTGTTAGGCAGATAATAAGATGACAAAGCCTCAAAATGTGGCACTCACTGATCTTAATTACCAAGCTATCTGCTGGGTGTTTAATCAGTAGCACATATACTATGCTAATTATTCTGGCTAATTTTGTTATAATGTAATTCTTTATCAACCCTGCTATGTATAAATTAGGAATGGAAATGTAACGAACACAAATTATATTTAAGGCAACATGAATTTCTTTATTTCAGTGTGAAATCTTCTAATCTCTATCCTTATCTTTCCCCTTTCAATTAGCTCATGTGACCCCCAACTGCCCACCTTGCCACAGTGCCCCTCAGTCTGAACCATCATTTGAGGAGAACGGAACCCAGCACCAATATTTCCCCTTCACTTCTTGGAAATCTTATGTTTGACTTACTCCTTCAACAATTGTCCTTGAAAGGTGCAGAGTACACATTTAAGCAATCAAGGGCAGACAGATCCCGGCTTTCTCTGATTCAGAGAGAGGTGGCTTCATTGCTCTCCTTTACTGTTTAAATAATCATTGGTGGGTACCATAATTCACATATTTTCACTGATAGATCATATGTGACTTACGTCAAGTTATGTTTACAAATATGTTTAAGTGGACTACTAACACCGATTCTCAGAGAAAAGCATAAACATTATCTAGAACTTTTTCTGTCCCGTGGGTTTGCATCCTGGGAGGTCGGGCTGGTGCAGAGTGTGGTGTGGCTGTGCTGAGCCCACAACAAGCGTGCCTTCAGAGACCGCCAGCCTCGAAACTTTCGTTCTATCAGTACTTTTGGTTTTGAAATTTTCTGCAGCAAAATAACAATGCCTGGTGAATAATTGGATACAGTGTGGGTCTAACTTAGTCTCGGCGCCTTGTGGGTCTAACTTAGTCTTGGCACCATGTTAAGATTGAACATTGGTGGGTCAGTTGCCTGACTGGCAAGGTCGTGGTCTGGGAGGCGCGGTCAGTCCCAAACACTCAGGCCCCGTTGTGATCTGAGCGTGAGGCCCAGGCACCGGCATGTCCAGGTTACCTAGAAGTGGCTGTGGAAGGGACCCCCTTCCGAGGCTGGTTTCTTCTTTGAGCCTGAATGCCCCTGCGGTCACTGAGGTTCAGGCCGCTCCTTCAACACTGGGCGCCTGCCTGAGTGCGCTCGGCGTGTGGCCCTCCTGTGAATCCTGCAGGACCTCCAGCTCGCTGGCGCTTGGGCTGCTTCCTTGGGCCTCTGGCCGCTCGTTGCTCTCTGCACTACCGCAGCCTCACTCTCGGGTTGCCCGATTCCTGGCTCCAGCCACGCGTGCTGCTTGCTGCGGTCACAAGCGTTTCAATGTGGCTGAAGATTCCTCTAAATTCTTTTTTAGTGAATCATAAGTTTCCAGGCTTGGGAGCTTCGACCAAGACATCTGTGTGAATGCACTTGACGTTGTGCGGCGGGACTGGTTGGCCTTTCAGCCACCGGGTCTGTGGGGAGCTGCTCTGTAAAGTGGCGCTGTTACGTGGTCCCCATGGGCAGCTTTCTGGGCAGTGAGGAAACTGTTTCTGAAGGCTTGAAGCAATGCAATGGGGCGTGGGCACAAACAGGATGTGAGGAAAGCCACTGAAACTCGTGCAAGGTTTTTTTCTCTTAAGGGCATGATGTGTGATGGCATGGGAATGGGGTTGTACAGTGGGAGATGCAGACATTTTGCATTAATGTTACCATAAAAGACAAAATAGCAAACAAATGAGTTGCATTCAGTAAGTACCTTTTGAACCCTTGTATCTGCCGGGCACTTCTCCATGTGCTGGGGCTTTAGTATACATACGGTGCACCCTTGAACAACATGGGTTTGAACTGAGTGGGTCTGTCTATGCATGGGTTTGTTTTTTTTTTCAATAAAAATATTGGAAAATGTTTTGGAGATATGTGACAATTTGAAAAAATTTTCCCTAGCTTACTTTATTGTAAGAATGCAGTATATAATATAATAACATACAAAATATGTGTTAAGTGCCTCTTTATGTTATCAGTAAGGCTTCCTGTCAATGGTAGGCTATTGGTAGTTTTTGGGGAATCAAAAGTTATACTCAGATTTTCAACTGTGTGGGGATCGGGGTCAGTGCATCTAACCCCTGTGTTGTTCAGGGGTCAACTGTACTATATACCGATCATATAGTTTTTAATATGCACCAGGCATTGCATAGATAAACCCATTTTCTCCTCTCAGTGGTCCTGGAAGGCAGCTGCTGATCACTAACACCGCTTGGCAAGGGGGGGCAACCAGGAAGCAGTCACACAGCTGCTACGTGGCCGAGCCAAGAGCTCAGGCAGTCTGTCTGTGCTCTTCAGAGCTGTGTGGTCCTGCTTCTCGGCTGTCCAGCCCCACTGGGTCCCTCCTGGGCTCCTGTAGTCCATTTCTTTCTCATCCCTTCTTTCTGTTCTTTGAGTCTTTTTTGAGGTGCAGTATTGTGAGAGCAGGTGGGGAGGGGCAGGGAGGG